TGTTAGGGGTTCCTTACTGTAAGTTGCCGGCATGTGGTCATCTTGTGGATGAGGGAAGACACCATGCTGAACTATGGAGCCTGCTGTGGACCATAACATCTGAAGACTTTTTGCTTGTGAACGACTCCAGCCAGGCAGAGCTTAGGTTTATCCTGTACCTAGGCTGAAGTGTTCAGATGCCAGTTTTTCTTGAGTACCCTCACAATCCTCTGGAAGATGAAGCAGACTAACTTCTAACTTCCCCCAGGGGCGCCTTCACAGGAACATTCCTGGACATCCCCCTTAATGCTCCACCTAATGGTGTCATACCCCAAGAGCCTTAGGGGTAGTTTGTAAGCTTCCTATATGCAGTAATGTCTCCCTGGGGTTTTCTGTAGGCCCGGTATGGTCATGAGTATGTGATACGTAGCTGCTGCCATCATTCATGGTTGTGGGAGGAGATTTCCTTGTTCTCTGTTACCACGTGAAGACAGAACTTTGGAAACTCATCATGGTGTCTATGATTTCCCTTACTCAGGTGATATGTATTTGTCTTTGTCTTGTATTTATACCTGTTTAAAACTTAATAAAGAGTCTGATGTGGCGCTGTGGGCTGATGCGCTAGACTGCAAAGTCAGTTTGAACCGCAAGGTCAGCAGTTCAAGCTCACCAACCACTCCTTGGAAACCCTATATCGGGTCGCTATGGGTCGGAACTGACTCAACGGTACTTAACAAGTGCTCAGGAGTTCTGCTGCTGTGTACTAAATGGGTGTTGAGGGCATCCTAAGTACACTTTGCCAGTGGGGATCTTATAGGGGAGGTGGATGTGTGCCCAGATACAAGAGAGTGGGGGGCCCAGATGGTGGGTGTGGGTGTGGGAGAGATTTCCCCTTGAGCTTCTAGGAAATGTGATGCAACTCAGTGCTTCTTTGTGAGCACTGTGGAGGTCAGGGCTGAGATATGGCCGTACCTCAAAGGCACGCTCAGCTCAGTGGGCTCCATGCTGTGGCCGCTCTGGCAGCACTAGTAGCGTGAGTTGGTTTCTAGAGTTTCTAGAGTTCCGAGCCTGCTGAAATGAACCTGTAAGATGAGTGGAAATGACGACACTCCCCCATAGTGCCGTATCCCTCCCAGGTGGGCACCGTCAGCTCTGAGAGCACCAGGAATTGAGTGAGCTTTGCCCTGAACTCTTTTATTTCCTGAGTGTATCTGAAATAATTGACCAAAGAAATCCTCTGAATGACGAGTGACAGTTTCAAATTCGTAGCAATGATATACTCTGTTAACTTTCACACACACACAATGCTAAAGCCTTTAAGAAGGAAGACAGGGGCCTAAAGAACTTTCTAGGGTGTGGAAATACCTTGATTAAGGTATATGTTACAAAGGCCATTTGTCAGAACTCTTCCAGACATCAGCTTGTGACCTCTGTGTCCCACAGATGGTAAATTGTTCCTTGTAAAAAGGGCTGTAAATGAAAGATCGACTTTAGTCAAAGATACGCAGGCTGTGCAGCATCTAGGGGCGTGGTAGATTCATGTTTGCAGCTTACTTTGAAATGCAGAAAAAATGAAGTGGACGGATGAGTTGATAGAAGGATAACTAACAGAATGCTGCTTATAAAAGTGAGGTGGTGGGTTCATGGGTGTTTACTGTGTTTCTACTACTCTGAAAATTTCACAGTAAAATCTTAAAACAGAAGAACTGCGCATAACCAATATTTATGTTTGCTAGAGCTTTCCAGAACTGATTTCCCCAACAATCAAGTTTTCTTGGGAGGCACAATTCTTTTCCTACAAACTGCCTCACCCAGCTAACTAGAACGGGTGAAGAGGCTTGAGGGTCCTTGGCTTCTTGTTTTCACTTTGAACCTGAAGGATGTGGTAGCTTGGACTTCACTTGATGGTGATGAAGCTTCTCAGTTTGAAGTTACTTGAACTCTGATACATAGTGCTTTCTACCCTGTAGGCAGAAAGCTGCGACTCTGAAGTCCAAGAACTGTTTGACAATCGAAACTAGACATCAGAAGAAGGCACCCGAGCCCTCTTAACCAAAGAGTACTACTGGATACTAGGGAGTTGTTGCGAAGGGAGACTCAGAGGCCTCCCTGTGTGGACTGAGCCGGTGCCTGGGCTGTTGCAGTAAGGAAGCCTGGGTTGATCTAGACAAACCTCATGGGCCCTGGGAGGTCTAGAAATCCTTAGAGAATTCATTTATGTCAGAGCAGCTTCTTGCTGAATGGGCTAACATCATTATCATTCTTAATCTTTATAACCTTATTTATTGAGCATTTACCAAATGATAGGCCCTGAGCCAGATAGTATGTGTATTCTGTCATAGTAACCCTTTAAGGGGCTCATTATATCCCCATTTTGTAGCTGGAAAGCCAATAAGGGCGTTTAAATGGTCTGTCCTACTAATCTGTCAGTTTGTTGTACTGTGGTGGCTTGTGTGTTGCTGTGATGCTGAAAGCTATGCCATAGGTATTTTAAATACCAGCAGACTTGCCCGTGGTGACAGGTTTCAGTGGAGTTTCCAGATTAAGTTAGACTAGGAATAAATCTCTGACAATCTACTGCTGAAAATTAGCCAATGAAAGCCTTATGGAATACCCTTCAAACTTGTAGCTGAGCCCACCCCCAGGGATCACCTTTCAGACAAACAACAGACAGACCTCTAGGATAAGCACTGCACCGAAAGGTTGGTTTAAACTGCAAGGTCAGCAGTTCAAACCCAGAAGCTGCTCCTCAAAAACCCTACACAGGGTCACTATGAGTCAAAACCAACTTGACAGCACTATACAACAATAATATACAGTGAACAGTGACACCCTTGAGGAAAGTGTTCTTCAGAATGATCAACCCTAAGGGCAAGAAGGGACAAGAAAGGACAGAAGAGGAGAAATGGAAATGGGAGTTCAAGGAGGAAGTAGGAAGAGTGCTGGTACATTGACAGGCTTGCAACCAATGTCACAAAACAAAATGTGTGTACGCTGTTGGATGGGAAACAATTTGCTTTGTAAACTTTCACCTAAATGATAATAAAATGTTGAAAATAATAAAAAAGAAAACAAAGTCCCCAGTGATAAATGTGATCAGTGATGAAGATCCCAGAATTGGGATGTCCAAGTGTGGCACTATAGAATTAGCATGGAACTGCTAACCATAAGGTCAGCAATTCAAACCTACCAGCCACCTTAGAAACACTGTACAATGTTGCTATGGGCCAGAACTGACCTGGTGGCATTTAGCAGCCATAACAATTCAAAGGGAGGATTTTATACTGCTCAAGCTAAAAAAAAAGAAGCCCCCCCAATGAGATGGATTGGCATAGTGGCAGCTGCAATGAGCTCAAGCATAGCAACAATTATGAGGTGGGTACAGGACCGGGCAGTGTTTCATTCTATTGTGCTTAAAGTCACGTGAATCAGTATCACCTCGACAGCACCTAATAACAACAACAGGCTCTCTCCTAAACTCTCTGGACTGAAGCTCCCCTCGGTAAGCCACACACAGTCCATTTTACAGTTACCTCAGAGTCATGTTTGCAAAAAGCTATAAAAATGAAAATTGTGTTAATGATGCAATATATCATGCTCCACGATTGTAAGACATTTCTCCATGTATTCCTGCCATTTCCCACCTTCATTCTTCATCCTTCAAAATAATTCTTCATTTCTCAAAATAACCCAGTGAGGTCAGCTGGTGTTATTGTACATTTTTTTCTGGTAAGGAAATTGATAACTTGGGCTGAGAACCCAACTTCTGTTTTTAGCTTTTTAAATCATATATTGTCCACAGTGATGTCACACATTGTTTACAGTGACAATGAGTAAGTAATCTTAGCTATCACATGTAGGGAGGAAATATTGCACAAGGGTTAAAAGCAAAGATTTTTAGGTCAGATAGAAGACCTGGGCTTCTGGTTGCACAACTTGAAGAATGTTGTCATTGTCCCTGAACTGTGCACGTAGAAATTATTTAATTGGTATGTGTTTTGTGTATATGCTCAACAATACAACATAAATTATTTTTAAAAATCAGATTAAAAACAATGCAACCTTATGGATCATGATAGTGTGTCATCTGATATCATGGTAAAAGGGACTTTCTGATTACGAGGCCCTCAGAATCCAGTGGCAGCACCAATGAACTCAGACATACCAACTCCATGACAGCTAACAAGCCTCATAGCTAGTGAATTGTGGACACTTGAGCTCCAGGGCTTTTGGTTTACAAAGCAATCTTTGTTATTGCTGCTCCTGACACATTCAGCAGGTAGAACTAACCTCTTACTTCCTAATTAAGAAGCTGACATTCAGAGAACGGAGTGGATGAACTCAAACAGTGGGTAGTGGAGTGGGTGGGAGGCACAAGGTGGGAACCTGGCCCTTTCATTTCTGGCTCTCTTTTCATGTCATCCTGTTGCCTAGAGAGCTGGAGAGGATGAGGAGGGAGTCATGGCAAAGGTCTAGAAGGCCAGGGGTGGGGTGTGCCAGGCAGGGGAGCCACATCCTGAAAGGCTAAGAGGAATTAGGGGGCTTGTGTGGGGGACAGAAGGAAGTTCAGCCTGGCTGCTAGACCTGTGAGGGACCACAGTGGAGGGCAACGACAAGCCCAGATTAGGGGGCTCGGGCCTGGCTCCTTTTGTAAAACATGAGGATGATGTATCTTAGTTGTTGGGTGTCTGCTAAGGACTAAGTGAGATGCCTCAGCTGAAGCTTGCTTAACATATTGTACTTAAAAAAAGATTTGTGCTTTCCCTGTGAACTGTTTGAAACCTTTGGACAAGGGAGCGAGTTGACCAAGCCAAGGTGTTCTGAGCATTCCCCTGACATTGTGGATGGCAGCATGGGGTGAAGAGGGCCGGCATGGAGCCCAACCTGAAGGACAATAGTCATTATTTCAAAGGAGTACTCCCTGGACTTTGGATGTGTGCCTTGCTGTTTCCACTGGCCCTTTTGAGAGTCCATTCGCACTGTCTCCCTCACAACTCACTGATGTGTTCTTGTTTTTTCAGGGGCCTGTGTGAAATGCAGCAAAGGTGTCTTCGGGGCCGGCCAGGCCTGCCAGGCCATGGGAAACCTCTACCACGATGCGTGCTTTACTTGTGCAGCCTGCAGTAAGTATGTGTGTGTGGCGGGATGCCAGGGTCCAGGGAGGTGATTCAGGTCCTAGTGCTCCTGTTATTGAAATGCCTCAGTGGGTGGCTGTAATGCACAGAGGTGGATTTCCCCACAGTTTAGGAGGCTTTGGGGCCGGAATAGGACAATGACTCTAGGGGAAAGCTCTGTCTGCTCGGGGGAAAATTCCATGTGAGCTCCTGGAGTGTTCTTCTTGGCATTCCTTGACAATCTCCACATGGCATCTCTTTCTCCCATTTGTGCCCTTTGTCTCTGTAGCCAAGCTGCTCTTTTTAAAGTCATACATACCCCACACTGATAGGGCCTCATGAACATAATAACAAAAACCCTATCCACCAATGGGATAACATCTACAAGTGTAGGAGCTAGAATCCTAACACAATTCATCCTTCTCCATGGTTACCAGATCCCTGGCCCTTCCTGGTCCTCCAGAAAGGTAGACAATTCTTTTAGAGCAGGCAAGGTGGCTTCGTTGAGTACCAGAGATCTCCTGGGGTAAGTTGGAGTGCGTTCAAAGCAATCCTTAATAACTCAATTTTGGAATGCACATCCGAGGTCTCAGTCCTGGTGGAGGGATAAGTGCTGGGATACCCCATCATCTCTCCTCCTGTGGGGACCAACCAACCCGAGGGCTATGACTTATCCCCAGGTGACCCCAAGCCTTTGCCCCTAACCTTTGATTTGGAGGCTGATGTATGAATGTGTGAGAGAGTGCGTGTGTACCTCACACGTGTGTGTGCTTACCAGTACATACACGTAAGGGCAACTTTCTGTTCAGGCACATCCATCTCACTGAACAGCAGCTCAGGAAACTGGGCTTGGGCTCAGCTCAGCAAACTGTTGCTGGGTGGATGGCAGTGGCCCCAGTGGAGGGTCCTAACACATGACAGGATGTCTGCCACACCTCACTTTAGTCGTGGAGTGCTGTTTTCTGGTCTCTTGTTGTTGTTATGTGCCGTGGAGTCGGTTCCGACTCATAGTGACTCTGCATGGGGTTTCCAAGGCTGTAAATCTTTACAGGAGCAGAAAGCCTCATCATTCTCCTGTGGAATGGTTGGGTAGTTTCGAACTGCCGACCTTGAGGTTAGCAGCCCGATTCGTAACCAGTATGCTACCAGAATTCCTTTTGCTGGCCTCTACTAAAGATTAAATTTGAGGACTATTTTTGGGGAAACATTCCTTTGATGTTCTCAAATCTTCTACCAAAACTAAAACCGCCCAAGTAGAATTGTGCTCTATAGAGTTTTCATTGGCTGGTGTTTCTGAAGTAATTATCAGACCTTTTTTCTGAGACTCCTCTACCCCCCACTTCCATCAAGTCTATTCTGACTCGTACCAACCCGTTAGGGACAAGTAGAACTGCTCCGTAGTGTTTCTAAGGCTGTAAAGGGTCATGGGAGTGGACAGACAGCTTCAGCTTTCTCCCACAGAATGGCTGGTGGGTTCAAATTTCTGGCTTTTTGACAAACAGCCCAATGTTCAGCCCAAAGAGCCACTAGGGCTCCTTCTACCCAGGCTTCTTGTTGTTAAGTGCTATCGAGTTGGTTCCAAGTCATAGTGACCCTGTATAGAGTTTCCGAAGAGTGGCAGATGGGCTTTAACTGCTGACGTTGTGGTTAGCAGTCTAGTGTTTATCACACAGCGCTATACCAGGCTAGCAGCTATCAATGAAAAGAAAATGTTACAACAAAGCCACAGAGTGTGGTAGGTGAAGGACTTCTTAAGATATGGCTGCTCCTAGAATCACCTAGGGCTGCCGTGGTGCCCCCCAGACCAGCTGAGTCTGACTCTCCAGAGCAGAGTCCCCTAGGCAGCTGCGGTGTGTGGAGGGGCTGAGCACTACTACTTTCATGCCACACTTCTCATTTGAGACGTCTCGGAGAAAGGGAGGGGCTAGCTCAGAACTAAAGCGTCCTGGTGACTCAGTGGTTAAGGCCTGCCGGCAGTTTGAACCCACCCAGCGGCTCATGGGGAGAAAGTCTTGGCAGTCTGCTCCCAGGAAGAGAGCAGTCTAAGCACCCCCTGGAGCTGGAGCCCTCCTGCTCTGTTACCCGGGACCCCTGCGGGTTGGAATCAGCCTGAAGGCGGCGGGTATGGTGGTTTTGGTTTTAGCATCCTGGTTGGTGTTACCTTGTAGCTTGGGGGCTGTACTCCTCATGTTTCCAGATTTTAGCACAGATGTGATACACCATCAGGAGGGGTTGATCTTTGTAGGAGGCCATGTCTGGTGAAGTAGGGCTCTCTATGAAAAGACAAGCACATCGACATTATTGTTCACCTTGGGGGTCTCACACACTCCGGTTAGGGGAGCTCAGCACACCTCTGCAGCTATAGGAGGGCCAGGCATGTGTCTGAGCAGCTTCTCATGAAAACAAGAAGTCATCGGCCTTTTGTTGAATTAACTTATTGCTGCCTTTTACTTTTAACTTGGCTGTAGGCAGCAAAAGAGGTGCCTGTGTCCTAGCACCGCGGGTCCTCCAGTGTCTCTGTGAGCCTCAGTGCTATATATATGCATATGTGTACATGGTTATGTGTGTGCATTTGTATATATATATGCACATATATCGTTGTGCATACTGTGTGTGCATGTTGTGTACATATGTACATTGTGTATATATGTATGTGCATTGTATATATGTGTGTGCATTGTGTACATTGTGTGTATGTAAATATGCATTTGCATTCATGTTGTAGATGTATGTATTGTGTGTATATGTATCTGTGTATGTTGTGTGTATACATGTGTGTGTGCACTGTCCATATATATGTATGTGTGTATGCTGTGCATTTACATGTATCTATGTATATGGTGTATATATGTGTGTATGCATTGTCTGTGTACATGTGCATGGATATTGTGTATATGTGTGTATGTGTGCACATTGTGTGTGTGCATGTGTGTGTATATATATGCATGTATGCACGTTGTGTGTGTGTCTATATATATGTGTGCATTGCCTGGCCCTGCATCATCCTTACAGCCTCTGGCATGTTCATATCCATTTGCGCCAGTCCTCACTGAGGGTCTCCTGTGCTCCACTGGCTCTCTGCTTCACTAAGTATGATGTCCTTTTTCAGTGATTTTTTCCCTCCGGAGTCAGACTGTTCTGCTGAGATCCACACAAAAACCTGCTCCTTTTCCCCTTAGTCAGCCCAGACCAAGGGTGAGACCTGTGGGCCCTCTCATGTCTCTTGTCTCTAATTGTTTAGAGTCAAAGTTTCCGTAACTGATTTCTCACAGTAGGTCTCTAGACCTTTGTCTCTGTCTTAGTTTGGAAGCTCCACTGAAACCTGCCCTCCACACATGACCCTGTTGGTATTTGAAATACTGATAGCATTGATTCCAGCACCACAGCAATATACAAGCCACTGTGGTATGACAAACTCACAGATGAATAGTGGACATACACATACAGTTCGCTTATCAACAATTTCATTACCCAACATTTTGCATTTATGTCGGTAGTGAAAACTCTGTTATCTGACTATTTTGTGCAGTAATAATGTATGTCTGGTTGCTGAGGTAGAAGGCGACAATAATGCTGGTTGTGATGGTTAAGGTTATGTTTGGTCATGGGCCATGATTCTCAATGGTTTGGCAGTTTTGTTGTTGTTGTTGTGAAGTGCCGTTGAGTCGATTCCGACCCATAGCGACCCTATACAGGCTTTCCGAGGAGCAGTGGGTGAGCTTGAACTACCAATCTTGCAGTTCAAGTGACTTTGTAGTCTGGTACATTAACCCATAGCACCATACCAGGACTTGGAATGATATAATTTGTTAAGTTATGGAATAATATAATTTGGTAGTTATACAATGATGCAGTCATCCTCCATTTTTGCATAATGCCAACTTTTGTATAACAACATGGTCTTTGGTACTAAACCATGTCTATAAGCGAAGAATAGGTATATATACATACATTATTGTTGTTAAGTGCTGTCGAATCATTTCTGACTTATAGGGTTTCTGAGGAGCAGCTGGTAAGTTTGAACTGCCGACCTTGCAGTTCAAACCGACCTTGCTGTCCCGGGCTTATCCTACAACACCACAGCAGGACTGTGGGTATATACACATATACGTGTGTGTGTGTGTGTGTGTGTGTATTTATTTATACCCACTGCCCCAATGCCATCAAGTTGATTCTGACTCAAAGCCACCTTGTATCACAGAGGAGAACTGCCCCATAGGGTTTCCAAAGCTGTCATTTTTATGGAAGCAGACTGCCACATCGCTCTCCCATAGAGCGGCTGGTAGTTTTCACTGCTGACTTTTTAATTATAGCCGTGAAGTGCCTTAACCACTGTGCCACCAGGGCCCAGTGTGTGTATGTATATATGTATACACACACTCATTCATACACACATAGCACACATTGACACTTCTCGGATTGTATCAGTACTACATTAAACTACAGTCTTGGGTTCTTGTCAAGCTCACACACCCTTACAAGACCAGGCGAAACCAAGACCCGACTCATTTGACAGCTAAAGATATGAAAAGCTACTTTTAGATGCAGATAGCTTATTATTTTGGTAGACAATGAAAAGTAAAGTAGCCTGGAGGCCTCTGTGTCTCAGTCCCACACACCAAAATGAATCACACCAAAAGGCACATTACCACATGCAGCAAGGTGGTTTCAAAAGGTCATGGGAAATGGAGTCTGCAGCTACAGAGGGGCTTCAAAAAGTCATGGAAACATGGAATGAAAAGACAATGGATTTTTTCCACTTAGTTTTTGAAGCACCCGCATACATCGTGAGGTGGCAGGGCAGACTCTCAGACATTAGTAGAACCCAGGAGGTGATGAGAAACTGACTGCTGATAGCCCCCCCAGGGGAGATAAGGTAGACTCATCCCCAGGCTGTAGGATGACCCCAGGGGTGCTCAGCAAGACACTGGGAACCTCGGCCCATGACTTCTGACAAGAGGCCACAATGTTTACTTCATGTTTAGTGTGACAACAACCAAGGATTGTCT